ACCGCTCTGGTTAAATGTCTGTAAGATGTTTAGTAAAATGAAACTTCAATGAAGCTAACATTTGTCTCCAAAGAAGAGATGAGCTACATTACATATGTCAGTGTTGCATTGAAATTGTGCTGGGCTTCTTGCTCCTGACACTAAACCAGAATTGTTTAAAGGAAATAGTGTCATGTACTGGAATGCAGGTGACCTAAAAGAAAAGAACTTGACATTCTAAAATGTTAATAGTGTGAATTATACTTGAGTTTTTTAATACCCTATAAATTGATTTGTGGCTTCTTTTACTTGTCAGCCAAAGTGTTCAGATTGCAATTCATACACAGCCAATTGGAATCAACTGTACCCCAATGAAATGGATTATAGTAGCATGTAGGACCTGCATTATTTGATCTCAAGTCTATAAAACTATTTTCACACTTGTACAAAGGGCTAATGCACCTTGAATAGGACTTGAGGACTTAAATATTTGTTAAATTGGAAGGATGAGAGCATCCCACCAGCTCCTGTTTGTTTTGTTGGTTAAGTAGTGGAGTAATTTTATTCATTGTAAGAACATGTTATGAAAGATTAATTTAATGGCTTAGTTAGCAGATGTGGAAGAGAGCTGAAGTGCATTTGGCTCTTTTTGATTCTCTGAATTGGGCTCCTTCACTACTTGATTAAGATCAAAGTAATCTTTTTTCATTTTGCCAGTATTTGTTTAGATGAAATATCAGTGATTTAAATGCATTCCACTCTCTGCTCTTGAGTGCTCCAGATTTAATTTCGGCTATAGTTGACTTCTTTTAGTCCCAAATTTGATCCCAGGGACTTGGCATTTCTTAACTTCATGGTAGGGATGCTAATCTTGGTGCCAGTAAAATAAGATCTGAAAATGACATGATGACCCTAATTTCAGACTTTTCCCCTCAGTTATACCACTGCCTGGGAAATGGACACATCTGTTTCTGTTTTTCTCTCTACTGAAAGACAGTTAAGAGCAAGAATTTGGAGTTTAAAACAGATTGTTGATAATTTCCTTTAAAGGGATGAGGTAAATTTTTCATGTTCCATTTTTCCTTTCTAACTTTCACAAAAGGTGCTCTGTTCTGTTTCCTCGTTTGTTCTATAGGAAAAGAAATAACAGTGTTTTATATTCAAAACCATGGAAAGCTGACTTGTCTGGAGATCAGAAATGAGTTCTAATGATTTCTCTTTTATAAAAAAGGAACTGTCTGCAGCACTGAAATCTGCTCTGTCAGGACACTTGGAAGCTGTGATTTTGGGCCTGTTGAAGACACCAGCTCAGTATGATGCTTCTGAACTGAAAGGTGCCATGAAGGTAAACACGCTTTAAAGTTACGCTGCAAGTCTGATGATATTTCTTGGGATAAGAGTTTGAGTCTGCCAAATTCTTCAGTTCTCAGCTGTGCACACTGGCTTTTGAGTACCCAACTTGAGGTATCAAAAGTCATGAGTTTAACTATCTAACTGGTGAATATGATTTTTTTTTTGTTACTTTTTCTAAATAACTCTAAAGAATGACTCTGCATGACCTCAGCTGCAGGACTCCCTGCCCTGGCTGGGCATGGTGCACCCCTGCTACACATGCAAATTAAAGCTGGCTGGAGCTTTTTATAGTGTGATAGCTACTTTGTATGTGTAGCTAGTCTCAAGGTAATTGTGCAGTTAAACAATTAATTGCACAATAGCTGCAACAGTAGAGAGGGCCAAAGTCATATAGTTGAGCCTGAGAGAATGCCTCATACCTACTGTTCTGTGTCTACATAACTTGAACAAAAACAGGACAGATTTTCAAAAGATACTCTTGGTCAGCTTAATTTTTTGTCACTATATTATTTTTATAAGAGTGTTCAAATGAAGAACTTGTAGTAAAGTTTGTAGCAACAAACTAAATCAATTATTTGGCATTCCATATAAAAAATTAAGACGCAGATAACAACAAAACCAATTGCTGAATTGAAGTCAGGTTTTTGAGCAATCAAATGTTGCCCTCTGCTGGTTTAAGCAGATACTGCCTGTAAATTACTGCAAATCAAGAAGACAATTGTTTTTCATTCTTTTTTCTTATGCATTGTATGAATGTAACCATGGGCAGTTATTTTCTCAGCCATAGAAACATGGAGAAGTTGGGCTGGAAGGGACTTCCAGAGGTCAACTAGTCCATCCCCCTACATGAGGCAAACCATCCCATACAATCCATAGTCTAAACTCCACGTAAGACTACTGTCACCCCTGGCACAACACAATCCTAACACCCTAATCTGTCACAGGTAAAGCAGGGGAATCATGGCAGCCAATGTCCTGCTTCTATGAAATGTTGTCAGTATATGTTGATGAGATTCTGGGTAGTGGCCCCCCGCTACAGAAGCAACCCCTCCCCCACAGTTTTACCATATCTGACCATGGTGTAAAATCCTTCCTGACCCCAAATAGGGCAAATCAGTCTGACCCCAAGCAGAAGGGCAAGACCCTCTAGTCAGGAACCTTTGGCTTTGGTCCCAGCAGGAACATTGGCACATCCCAGTCAAAGTTTCCAGCCTTGGCTGTAGCCCAGTGCCTCTGAGGGAGGCTTAAAAACACCCTGACATACATAGCAGGAAGGCAGGGGCGGGGGCAACCAGCAAAGCCCAGAAGACTGGAAAAAAGCCATAGCAGAACGTAGGCATAGCTATGTCTAGATCATCTCTGACCAGTGGCTGGCCAACTTCTTTCACACACCTACAGTGATGGAGAGTCCACAGCTTCCTTAGGCAGTCTATTCCACTGCCTCACTATTCGAACAGCGAACAAGTTGTTTCATAGTGATAGTCAGAACACCAGATGGGGAAGCCCATCAAGAACCTTTTCCAGTGTGGTAGAACAGCTTTGCTTTTGTTTTGGAGGTGGGGCACGGTATAACGTTCTCTTTATAACCTCATGTGATGATATCTTCTACTGACCCAAAGGCTGATATTATGAGTCTGGTGTCAGATTTTTCAGCTGTTTATGCTTGAGTTTAGTTTGGAATAACTTTTTATGTAGTGGCTATTAAGGCATGTCCTGGCTTAAATGAGGAAAGAAAAATTCCTATGACGAGTTAATGATTACTCTGATGTGTAATACTAAGGAAAAAGCACAAAAGAGAGCATAAGAACAATTTTTCATGTGAAAACAGCTATAAAGAACTAATAACCATATCTTGGTCTAATAAATTATTTTGTCTAAAGTGAATATATGTAGCTTGGGACACTGCTAACTTGTCAACAAAGTCCCCTCAAATTACCACACACAATGCCAGATTTTCAATTCTGGCTTTAAATTAATACTCTCAGAATGCAAGTATAACTTATTTGTATGTGTAAAATCCATGTTTGTCCATGTAAGCCAGTACAGGCATGGAACAATCAAGTGGATTTCTAATTCTTTTATTTTTAAGTGATGCATTTTTTTCTCCTCTGTAAACAGTCATACTGAAATATATATACCAAAAACAATTATAATCTGATTTGAAGCTAGCTGAATGTTTTTCCTGAAAAGTAGCTTTCCCATTCAGGCAACTTTTTCAAAGGATCTCTGGGAGTTTGAAATGAGGAAGAACATATACACAGTTCGCTTTATTCCAAAGAAAGACAAATATGTTTATGGTAACTGCAATATTGCATTGCTCATAATTCCTTTTAACAAAAGATCCTTGTATGAACCTCAGTAGATTTGGAAACCAAAAAATATGAATAGATATTAATCTTTCCCCCTTCCTCAACAAGCTGATAAGAACTGTCTTTTTGGAGAGGTTTTTTTGGTTCTATTATACATGAGTCTTTGGTAAATTGCGGGGCTCCTTTTTTCTATTGTCAAAGAAGCTCTTCCCCTCTCCACTGCCACAAGGATGGTTTTCTAGCAAAAGCTATAGACTCAAAGTAGCTTTAGCATTTTGTTCCAAATAAAAATACATGATATTAACAATTGACCAGCAGCCTGAGGCCAGGAGTGCATTGTTTGAACTCTACTATTTTGGGGCATCTGGGCTCCCATAGAGTTTAATTAACAGCTGATACCTTTTCATGTGGATTAGTTATTTTCTTATTGCTTTAACACCTATAATTGATTTACATTTTAAACAGTAGTAATTCAGCTTAGTTCAAAGTAATGTTCCTACCTTTGGTTTTACTGTTGCTCTACAGAGAGGCAAGTAATACAGAAACCTGATTATTAACTTTGACTTTGATCACAAAACTAGGCTTTGAAATACATATTTTATCATGTCCTTTCAACACATCCAGGTTGTTCAGAATTTACGTATTCAATCTGAATATTTAGTCTATCATACCAAAGACATTTTTATCCTTATTACTAACATGGGTAATAATTTTGTTATATAGGTATATATTTTAGTCTACATTATTGATTTCTACCTAAAAATATACAGTATGCATAGCATTCACTACAGGTATAAAGTAACATTACAACCAAGCTTTCATTTAAATAGAGGTAAATAAAGGTTGAAAATATTTTCATTTGGCTTGTTCTTTCATAGTTTGAGGATATTTGCATCAGCAGCCAGGAATTCCTACTGAAAATAATTGCATGTTATATTTCAAGCCCTTGATCCACCCGAGTTCTTGAGCTTAGCTTCAAGCATAAGAATAGCTTCTGGGAGCACATGTTTAGCTGCTAGATCAGGGACCCAAAATAAGGGACTACTATTTTCAGTAGGAAGTGCTGGTTGCTAAAACAAACACCCTCAATCATGAAAGAGTAAGGTAAATAAAAGTACTTTCACCTTTACTTACCTAATTTTAAATGGAAAATTCAGTGCAGGAATATTCACTTTAAGAACATGCTTCAGTCTTTGCTGGGTCAGGGACAAGGAAAGCCATTCCATCCATATCACCAAAATCTTCCATTTATAGTACGTTTTCAAAGGACGGTGAGAGGACTTCATGTTTGTGCATGATGAAGGTCAATTCAGCTTTATATGTGCACATACTGGAGTCAGGTTTTGATTCAGTGCTCTAAGCTGAGAGGTCAAAAATAAATGCTTAGTGCCAGTGACATCTAAACTTAATCTAGAAGCACTGATAGATATTGAATAGGTGTTAAAAAGCTCTTGGCTAAAACCAAATATATCCCACAGTTATTACAATAATATTTGGCACTTAAACACATTCCATCTTTGGCTTTTCAAACCCATTATAAAAATATCTGAATTAGCCTCACAGTAGCCATGGAAGGTAGTAGTATTCAGCCTTGGGTGTTTTGTTTTTTTGTTGTTACAAATGAGGTAGACTGAGGGACAGAGAAGTTAAGACTGCCTTTACGTGTGCTCAGGGATGGGATGAGCCATTTTAATTAGAGCAATTACCGGACAGCGGCTCTAATTAAAACGGCTCAACGTCACGCATATTAAGTCCCTGCACATTTCAAAATGGCCATGGGACACTTTATCTAAAGCTCGGACACGGTCTAGATAAAGCACTCCTGCAGCCATTTTGAAACACATGGGAGCTTAATACAGACGACAGTGAGGCAACACTGGAGCGTTCTAATTTGAATGCAGAGCAGACTTGATTGAATCTGCTCCAACCTGTTCAAATTAGAACATGAGCAAGCATGTGTATAGGCACCCTAAATTACTAATCCACACGTCAGCGAGTATGCCAAGCTGTGCAGACTGGAGTCCCAGAATACTAAGAGCTTGTTCTGTACTTTACCTGCTGGATACAAGTGATTGGACTGCATGTAGAAAAAGACTGTAAATACCAGCACGTATAGGTAGATCTAGAGCTTTGAACCATGGGGGTGCAGATGGCATTGTGCAGCATCACATATAACACAACATCTGTTTTTCTCCAGGTAAAAATAAGCAAGAAGCTTTATTAATATGGTAGGGACCTAGGGCTGCATTTTTCAGTTTAAGATCAAAGCAAAAACAAATATAATTTGATTGGAATGTGCAATAATTTGCTATATCATATCATATATTTTGTATAAAAACACAACAAACCAGGCAAAAATAATTAAAAGCTTTAGTTCTGTTTTTATTAGAATTAAATGTACATTTCTTTCAGAATCGTAAAAAATCTAGTCTTCAGTATTTTGACAGTGTATCAATGCTTCACTGAGTTATTTCACACCTGAGTTGATGTTTACATGAGTTAATTTTTTCATGCCTAAATTAATGTTTTAGCTAGATTTAAAAACAGTCTGCAGGGCTGTGAAATAGGAGCTATATTAAGAGAAGTGGTTAACAGACAGCAGAATTACATAAGAAAGTTTATCTTGATTAATGGGCTGTCAAGACCATTAAAAAGGAGAGACGGTCATTAACACTCTGAATGAAGATTTTAGAAGGAATCAGGTAGATAGATTATAATGAGCTAGGAAGTCAAGTAACTTTCTCACTGCTGCCTGAATAGAAATGCTACTGTCACTGTCAGGAAGTTGGTTTTAAACTTTGGGTGGACCAGAAATCAAACCGGGGCGTGATTGCACCACTGCACCTCCTCAGACATTCCCCTGCCACTATATTATCATATGTAAAATAGAATTAATATGGCTTTTCAAGTATTGTGCTAAACTTCTCCCATTTCTGACTTAAATCTCACTTTAAAACAAATAAAATCACTTTGTTACTAGAGGAGTGGCTACTCTCCCGCAAATTAGTACTAGTGTTTACTCACTCTTTCCAACTGAAGATTGTATAGGAAAATACTGACTTGCCTCAGCCATAATATTGAGATGTATTGGTGCCAGTTTTGTGCCTCTAATGTACTTGCAACTGGTCCATAAGAATAAATAGCATGAGCTATCAATTACATTGATAAAAGATACTGATGCCACATAATTCCCTTTCTAAAACAGCTGTAAAGATGTTAATATTCTCTTACTTTCAAGTAGGAGATGGGTATATTAAAGAAGTTTCTTCAAGATATTTTGGAACTTTCAAGAAATCTGATAATTTTAACTAATTAGCTAAAACTTTTGTTTCAGGGCCTGGGAACTGATGAAGACACTCTCATTGAGATCATCTGCTCACGGACAAATCAGGAGCTTGCTGAAATTAACAGAGTCTACAAGGAAAGTGAGTTGGTACTAGTGTTCTCAACATGGCGAATTTAGGCCTTTCCATACTTCTTTGGAAGTGGGAGGAAAAACTTTTGACCATTGGCCTTGTTCTTGGTGATTACTATTTGAGTTTGTTTTAAAATGTCAGTGCTTAAACTCACAGTAAAGCAGCAACCGTCATACTTAGCTATACTTGGAGAAAATTGTGCCCCCATACTTGCTTTGATAGCTGTCAAATGATTCTGTGAGGGTAGCAATGGCTGAATCAATAAAGCGCTACATGGGATAAGATAAAAGCAATATTAAAATGATGAACTGGATAGGTATATATGAGATTGAAGGGTCTTAGGATAGATTCCTGATGAACTTGAGAGGAAACTGCATTTTAAGCAATACAGAGTAGGGGTGTACTGATAGAGATTTTTGGGGCCAATATCAATTGCCAATTTTTAAAGAGGCATATCGGCCGATACTGGTCCAATTTCCGATATGCAGCTCAGCAGCTTGAAGAGCAGCGTCCGGCTGGTAAGTCTGTTGTGGGGGAAGGAAAGGAACGTGGGGAGGGCAGATTGAGGCCCCTGCGATGACAAAGAATGGAATAAATAACAACTGTAAATCCTCAATAAATAGTATTTGTTGTTTTCCAGTGTACAAGATAGAACTGGAAAAGGACATTGTGTCAGACACATCAGGAGACTTCCGCAAGCTGATGGTTGCCCTAGCAAAGGTAAGGTATTCTGAGCAAGTGCAATTTTAGCTGTGCTTTTCCTTGTTTTATTAGGTGTCTCAGTCTACTAGCCTGTTGGCAACTTACCAGCCGTATCAGAAATCTGTTGTCTGCTGATGACAAGTTTTGATTCACTTTCAATACCACTGCATAACCAGCAACTTGAAATAACATGGTTTGGAAACTTTATGAAAGTAATTTGATAAGGCAGTAGTGTCTTTTACAGAGTTGTGTAATGGAGATGAGACATACTATAATAACTGGTCACTTAACACTGCGTAACTTGAATTGTGGGGAAAAAGGCTTGCCTGGTTTCAACCAGGTTATCGCTATTGAACCTCTACTAAAATGTTTTTATTCTTGTTTGAAGGGTAGAAGAAGTGAGGACAGTTCTATGGTTGATTATGAACTTATTGACCAAGATGCCAGAGTAAGTGCTCCTGCTGCTAAGTAACTAAACTTCATAAATGATACAGTGCTTCTTGCTTTTGCACATACAGAAAGAGCTCATGTAAATTCCCTACAATACTAGATGGAAGGTATAGACAGGTTACTCATTTCAACATGTACTACTTACGATCCTGAGAGATCAGTCAGATCCTTGTATCACTTTCTGCAGCTACATCCCATACACAGCTGGCTTTTAGTTTCTCTTGCATACTTTGACAAGGAAATTCCTTAGTGGAGAATAAGAGAGCAGTGGTGTTTGTTTTCTTGGGGTTCAAGATGGTTAGAACCCAAGCGATTTCTACAAAGACTATGAAACTATCTCAGTGGATTAATTTATTGGTAATGTTATGTAAATGATCTTCCAACATACTGCCACCGAAGCCAGCACACATCAAGAAAAACTCTGCTGAACGCAATGAAATTTTCCCAGGGCACAACCTCTCCTAGTTGTGAATAAGATTTGTTAGTCTTGTCTATGTAGTCCCCTTGAAGAGTATATTACACATGTTGGCCTTCTCATCTAATTCAGCTCCTAAAGAACTTTTTTTAGCGTAAAAAAACAAACAAAAAAACTTGTATAGCTTTGAAGCAACTACCTTTTTTGACCCCTGGTGGCTAAAGTAGCACTTTTCATTCTAACCACAGGACCTTTATGATGCTGGTGTGAAGAGGAAGGGAACGGATGTTCCTAAGTGGATCAACATTATGACTGAGAGAAGCATTCCCCACCTCCAGAAAGGTACTTTTTAAACAAAGCATTTCCACAGGAGGGAGTTAGAAATGGATCATTATTTTTTCCTTCCAATAGCGATTAAAATGAGGCCAGCAAGCAGAAAAATCTTAAGTTTATTAGCTGTGCCATCACCATTTGGGAAAAAATAAATGTATTTAAATATTACTTTAAAAGTAAAGTAAATACATTAATCTCTTTGCTTGAATTTTTGCATGTACATGCACATGTGCACACATGGATGCAGCAGGAA